TCTTTTAGTATTAAAAATTAATCGTTTGGGCATTGAATATTTGCATTCAATTTCCAGGGGAACCATTTATAAGAGCCTTAAAGGAAGACTCTAGGGTGGACTCCTGTGAAGGACAATACTCCCTCCCACCAGTAGTCTTTATTTGGGGCACTATTGATACCAGATGATTACAAACACCCTGGTTTTATATGCAGAAAACGAAAATAAAACATGAACAAAACCAACGTATGACAGAATGGTTGAGGGCATTCATTCTTGCCTTCTCAATACAGTCACTTGGGTGGCTTTGAGCAAGGGACAATGAAAGCCACATCAAGCTTTTATACCACTGGCATTCCATGACCAGTACTAGACACAGACTCTGCTGGATTGGTGAGACAAGGACTGTAGTCTGTCTGAGCATTTTCAGGTCAGGGCAGGAGTGTGCTACTCTGTGTGTCGTTCTGGTCTGTGCTACAAGATCTCCCCCTTAGGCAGTGTGCAGGCCTGGAGACAGCATGGTCCTACAGGGGTGCCTCTGATTTGGCTGCTTTATACTGACAGACAAAGAAAACATGACTTCATATTGCTCTTTTATTATCTTTCCTCCTGCATATGCATTGCAGCCTCTTTAATTCTCCAATTTTTGTTTCCACGTGATACGTTCTACATAATGCATTGCTTTCCTAATCTTAATGATTGACTCTGAATTATTGACATTAATGGAGAGAAGGATTCAAGAGGAGTAGCAATTGGGTGTCTAATATTGCACTAAAGTGCTTCGTAGATTGAAAAGTGATGGGTTTCTTTCTTTGTGGAGTGCATGAACTTGGGTCTGTATGGCCCAGGGGACAAACTCTGCTCCTACTTCAGACCTGTGGTAGTCTGAATCTTGCAAGAGCAGCTGCTGCTCTACCTTCTGGCTTGACAAGGGTGACCCGATGTTTTAAAACAAATCAACTGACTTGCTTCCAGGCCAGCTATTCAAAATGCACTCACTACCTGATTCAGATACTGAATGTTGGGTGAGCTGTGAAGAGCAGGTATATAAAAAATGTGTCATGCCCACTGACCTATTTGCTTCCTATGCTTGGGGAGGACAGGGTTTCTTTGGTTTATACTTTCTCATCATAGTCCATCATTGAGGGAAGCCAAGACAAGAACTCAAGGAGGGCAGGAACCTGGAGGCATGAACTGAAGCAGAGGTCATGCTGCTTTACTGACTCCCTGTGGCTTTCTCAGCGCCCCCTCCCTTCTTAAATACAACCCAGGACCACCTGCCCAGGGCGGCACTGCTCACAGTGGGCTGGACTCTCCCACATCAATCTTTATTCAAGAAAATACTCCCACAGATTTGTCTACAGGCCAATCGAATGAAGACCTTTTCTCAGTTGAGGTTCCCTCTTACCAGATTTGTGTCAAGATGACAAACGACTAACTAGCACACTCACAAAGTTGAAGTTCAGTGCTCTGGAAGGAATTGATGAGGTTGCCTCTCTAACTCATTGTTGTTGTGAGTGAGCCAAGATTGTGGAAGAAGAAGGGGAAAGGTAGGAGTGGAGGGTTATGGCTCATGTCCTTTCTAAGGTTCTGGCAATGAACCAAAATGGATACTGAAATGATCCGTGAGTTTTCTTACTAGAAAGACCCCCATGGAGCTCCAGTTAAACCTCCCTATGCCAAAATAAAAGGGATGCATTTGTACTTACTGGTTGTTATTGGAATATAGCATGGGCAATCCCCTCTTCCGGTACATCTTGCCCAGCTGTTTGAATTGTGTCTGGTCCTGAATGGGAAATGGGGAACTTACCAATTCCCAAAAAGCTGATTCCTGAATGAGTTGGCTTTCTTAGGAAGTGTGTGCCCACAGAACTGTCCAGGAGTGGAGAAACCCCAATAGGCCTGACCCAGGACACCCAGTAGCCTTAGAACTCCCAGCACCACCTGGAGTCTGCTCCATTCCAACTGTGGTCCTGAGGCTGGACCACACAGTAGCAGAAAAGTCGTGGCCACGGAATGGTAGTGTATGACCAGGAACAAGGTGACATCAGGTAGGGATAGCAGAGAACACAGGCTGCTGGAAGGTCCCATCTTCAATCAGACTTGCACTTTCTTAAACCATAATATACAGTGATTACTGCATTTGACCACCAGAGGGCAACGGTGTTTCTAGAATGAAGACTCAGGAAGCAAGAAGAGAATCAAGCTGGGAGCTGGAAGAGCTCTTTAAACATCATTTGGTTCCCTGGCTTTCGTGTTTTTGTTTGTTTGTTTGTTTGAATGAATGAAGTCTACATCAGGAATTGCATCCCTCTTCATGACCTAGTTTATACACATATATTTGGACCTTGCTATTAAACACCAATCTTACTTTTGTCATTCACTCTCATGGTGTATAGTTCAAGTCATTTCATTACATAGGACTTTGGAGGTAGCTCAGTGGTAGAACAAGTGCCTAGCATGTATGGAGTTGTGGAATCAATCCCTGGAACCAAAAATTAAAACAATTGAACCCACAAAAATTGATTTTATAACTTACTGATGGACCTTTACTTTGAAAAACTGACTTGGATCCAGCCCCTTATGTTTAAAAAAAGGAGTATACTCACCCCTAATTGAAGAGGGGTCCCTATGAGTTTTACTTCTCTCTTTCAGACATCAACTCACTCCCCCTGGCTCAAAGGTGAAGGACAGATACAGTGTAGCAACCTAGTACATTATCCTACCAAAGTGCCCGTGGGATAAAGACTGTACTCTGAGAGTGTCCATCTACCAATAGTAGATGTGTCCCCTGGGTGCTGTGGCTTCTTTTGTCATTGGAGCACCTACAGCCACCTTTCTGGAGCTGTCCCCATCAGACAAGGTTTATGTTCTCTTAGGTGGCTGAGCACTTAAAGCAAAAATAATGCCAAAGTTGCCTTTCCTAAGGATGCTATTCCATATCTGAATTGAGGCCACAAAAATCTAGCTTAATGCCTAACACAAAATGCTCAAGGAATAGCTACTGGCTGATGGACTGCCCCAATTCATATTTTTGATACTTTGCCTACTTTATCACATGATACAACTTTCATAACCACCTGGTGTTTGAAGAATAGTTTATTTCCATCCCTAGTGGGGTGATAGCTAGAGAAGGCTTACATATAGGTCTCCAGGTTGTGTGGCCCTTTGGGGGCAGAACAGGAGCCAGTTTAAAGTATAAATAAGACCTGCCGCAGATCCCAGGAAGCCAGCTCAATACAATCCCCCATCAGGAATCAGCCCCTATTCCCAGCCATTCCCCTTGGTTTCTGGAACCCTCACAGGCCTTTGCATGCCCTTGTCAGACCTTTTATCTCCTCAACACTAGCCTGCTTGATCATCTTTAAGAGTGGACCTTTCTTCAGTAACCTTTTAAGGAAAACAGTTTCACTAGATTCATGGCAGAAATTTATTCTTGGCACACTGACCTCGTTTTCCTTGGCTCCAGCAATCACATGAATGTTAAAAATCAGGAAGTTAAGGAGGGTTAAGGGGAAAGGAACATAGCATCAGGGACTTGTTTCACAGGGCTGATGTCTTAGATCTCATACAACAAAGTAGGGTCTCCTTAAAGCTCAGGGACATTGTACTACCACAGATGATAAACAGTACCAGAGCTCTTGGTGAAGGCAAGGGGAATGGGTTTTCCCTCAGGTTTTGAGAGCTAGTTTATTTCTTAAGGATGCCAAGGACTCCTTTTCCAAGAGGTGGCTAAAAGCACAGAAATGAAAGGTATTTGATGCTTTTTAAAATTTGCATTTATTTGTTATGTATATGCATGCATGCCTTAAAGTATGTGGAAGCCAGAGGACAACTTGGGGGAGTTAGTTCTCTTCTTCCACACCCAAGTCAGAGGACCAAAGTGACAGTATCAGGCTTGCTAGCAGACACCTTTACCCAGTGGCCATCTCACTAGCCCTATTTTATCATTTTTAAAAATCATCTTGGAATGAAGGCAAATGATCCCTGGCCTTTGAAAAACTGGTATACTTTGTCAGTCTGGGTTTTTTTGTTTGTTTGTTTGTTTTGTTTTTGTTTCAGTAGAAAATTCTTTCCCAGATAACTAGGGAGGCTGCCTTCAGGGCTCCTTTTGCCTCCCTGAGAGGAAGGCAAGCTCTTAATGTGACCTCCTTCCTCTGGAGAACTAGTGAAGGCTGGAGCTTGGCAGAAAGGGTATCCCTGAGACAGTAAAGGTTTTTGTTTTGAAACAGTCACAATAGTTTGCCTTTTTCTAGAAATAAGGAACAAGACTGACCGTCCATCGGGCGTCTAACATCAACTGATTTAGACAGAGGACAGTCTTTACCATCCCACCGATTTACACCTTATGCTCAGCACTACATAGGGTTTAAGGCCATGGGTCTGTGGCTTTGTGGGACATTCGGGGAGCCACGTTGCCTTTAGGACTCTGCAGTTGTGTAAACTTTTTAAATCTGTGTGATGAATCGAGCCACGCAACAGCTTCACTCACATACATCTGCACCTACAGTCACAACCTGGAAAGCACCCGCTTTCAGTTCGACCACTGCTGTGGCCCTGTACTGGCTGGTTAGATCAGGACGACGCCAGAACTAGGTGGTGCCTGCCTATGAGGAATCTTTATCCTGACACCACACACAGTAGACTGCAATCGACAACCAAACAGAACGAAACAACAGAAACTTGTCTGCGATGCTGAGAGCTGGCTTAGACTTAGGACACACCGCCCCAGCCTTTGGTCCAAGCCATAGAGTTTAAGTCATAGGTCGGTCGGGTACACAGTGGGCATCTCGACAGCAACCCACACTGGGTATCCCAATCAGGGTTGTTGTTTGTGGGACCCTTTAATCAGTTTCCCCAAACGTCCTTATCAAAACTTAATGTGTTAAGGATCTCTGGCCTCGGAAATGTCGGAAAGGCGGAGGCAGCATCTGAGGACACCGCATCCCCCGCGTGGCATGATCTCCGACTGGGAGTTCAGCCTTCCCTGCGTGTGTCCCTCTGCATCGCGGCCCACTCACCCACGCGCGACCCTCCTGCACGGCGGCCAGCACCCGCAGCGCGCTGGGCGAGCTGGCGCGGAAGTTGAAGAAGTGCAGCGCAGCGCGCGCGGCCAGCTGCAAGATCCCGCGTGGCAGCCCCGCCGCCGGGGGACGTGCGGGGACATCGGTGCGCTCCCGGTCCCAGGGCGCCACGGCAGCCGCCGGCAGTGCGAGGCTTAGCAGCAGCCAGAGCAATGGCGTGGGCGGCAGGGGTCGACGAGGCTGCATGGACGTGGACCGCGAGAGCCAACGGGACTGAATGGATGCGGGAGGCTGGCGCGGAGCTCCCCGAATGGAGTTCGTGGTGCTCGCGGAAATAGGCCGCGGCGGCCACTCCCCTCCGCCCCCGGGTGCCCCTGTCCAAACAGAAGGACCAAAAGGCGCCTCCGGGAAAGCAGGTCAGAGAGCGTGTGCCCGATTATGCGGTGAGAGGGGCCAGAGGGCAGTGGGGCGCCTCCCCGCCGGCACACCCCGACCCCAGCTCTGGGGACCTGGTTTTGTCGTCTTTGGCTGCTATGATTTCGTAACCCTCTAGTTTTAGAGCGAGACCACACCAAAGGTTAGCTGCAGGTGAAAGAGGAGAGAGGTGACAGGGATGGGCTGCTTCAGGCCTTGGTGGGAAGTTCCAGAAGAGACAGCTGGGAACAGGGAAAGTGTGCTGAGCAGGCAGTGAAAACCCGTGGGCCAGTCTGGAGGGGAGACAGGGAGGAGGAGCGGTGGGCAGCAGGACAGGGGATCTGAGAATCGAGTAGATTACTCAATACTGGTGAGAGGCCTTTCGTTAAAGTCAGATTCTAGTGTAGTAGACGTGGTTGCAACCTGTCAGTGAAGGCAAGAGGAGGCTGCTATTTCTAAACCGAGAGAGAAAGCCCCTGGAGTAAGGGAAGAGAGACGGCTCAGGGAATAAAGGCTCCTGCCATCAATTTGGAGTTTCTTCCCAGGACCAGCACGGTGGAAGAAGGAGGGAACACGCTCAAGCAAGTTTTCCTCTGACCACCATCCATCTACCAACTACACAATAAAGTAAATAATAATAAATGAAATGTAAGGGAGAAAGACAGAAAATGAGAAAGCCCAGGACAACCAAAGATACTCAGAGGTCTAACTCATCTCATCAAGCAGTGGTCGCCCTACTGAGGGGTCAAAGAATGGTTGAGACCCGACTTGTTAAAAGATGCTTGCAAATGCTGGGGCAAACCGACCTGCAGCCTACTACCTGCCATCTGCCTTGGACTCCAGCACTCACAGATGGGCTTCTGGATCAAGTTATTCCACAGTCATCAAGCCACAAGCCCATGGACAATGAGCAACCATCCAAACAACACTCTGCCCGTTGCCTGTCTGTGCACTGCCGCTCCTTCTGCAGATCTGTGAAACACCTGGGTCATGGGGAGATGAGGATGAGCAACCAGATGAACATCTGGAGCATGCCTAGGCAGGTGTGTCTCAGACAGTCAATGAGGCCAAGAGAATGTGTCCTGTGCTGTTTGCATAACATGTTCTGCAGAAAATTGAGGACAGGGCAGGAAGCCCTAAGATGTTTAACCCGGGTCAGAGCTGGAAGTCATATCCAGAGGGGACAGCAGAATCATTGGGGCAGAAGGACTATCTAAAAAGGTCCAGACACTCTTAATTTCTACTTCATTTTGCTCTCTCCTAGACTAACCATGGTTAGTACCCACATGGACACTTGGAGAGCAGTCTGCTGTCAGAAAACATATATCTCCTAGTGTACATGGGTGAGAGGTGGCCAGATCACCCGTTCCTCCTCCTGTCACAATGCTAGTGAGCAGAGATAGAAATTGGATCTTTATCTTGAACTGTTTTCAGAGCCAGGCTGTTTGAGAATGCAGCAGATTAACACCCCCAGAAGAAGTTTCCAGTCACCCCAGAGCTGCCCCTCTGCTCAGGTGGTCAGCCACATCTCTCAGACTCTCAACCTCTTCCCTGCAACCTTCTCTCATCCTTTGAACATCTAGGTTTCGAGAACTTTCTTGTAACACGGACACCAGTTGATGTCTTCTGGAGTCCCCTGCATTCATCCAGGGCAGGAGAGTTAACATTCAATGAATAAGGTATTTGTGTGTGTGTGTATGTGTGTGTGTGTGTGTGTGTGTGTGTGTGTGTGTACTAAACTGTTAACATACACTGGCAGACTCTTTTCAATATAAATATGGAACACAAGTGTCCTTATTTATATCCCCTGTCAAGACCTCCCAGTTCCCTCTGGATATGCATGTTTGTACAGAATATCCCTGGAAGAACTAACCAGAAACAGCCACAGTGGTTGCATTTGAAAAACAGAATGGAGAGGAAACATAAGAGTGAGAGGACTTATAATGTCTGCCTTTGATCTGTGTTATCACCACAGGTAATCCAGAGCCTGGACCATATACTTGGAGCCAGGAAACTTGGGGTAATGTGAATTTCCCCTGTTTGTGCTTGGATGGCACCTCCTACCTCACAGAGTGATTGTGAGGTTCAAGTGTGCTAACATCTACATGCATGTGCTGATAACAAAATAATGAGTATTTGCAATTGCCATCATTATTGTTGTTGCTATCAAATTAAAAAGAAGGTTGAATCCTGACAAAGAATAAACCCAGCCGTGGTTTTCTTTTCATAAATGATAAAAGTGGTGTGCTAAAAACTGCTGGTGTCTTCAATGAAGGCTTAGATATTTCCTCCATATAATCTTTTATAAGCAGTTAACAATCAAGGCATATATAAATCTATATTTCTTCTTTATTTCTTCCTCCTGGCAAAGATGAAGGTAAATGGGTTAAGCAGAAGGAACCCATCTACCTTCATCAAAAAACATCTTCCAATCCTGTCTGACTCAGAAAGTTGAAGCCCGTTGAAGCCCAGACAGGATGGAGAAGATGTTATTTCTGAGCCACAGAACCAGGGACACTAATGGGGGAAAATGCAGCTTGTCTGTTTCCATGGGTTTCATTTCATGTTTTAAGAAGCCTTGCCTTTTGTTAAGCTTAAACCCTATGAACTTATGAATTCCCTATTCTGTGTTCCTAGCCTATAATGCCTGACACTTAGCTGTTCACAGAAAAGCAGGATCCCTACTTGATGGTGCCACTTGCTTTTCTGGAAGATGCAGTCTCTGGTCTCTGCTCCATGGCCTCTGCCATCAAGGTACTTTGGGTTCACATGGGGGGATTTCATGGTGTCCCCCACACTCTTAGTGGCTGCAGTGAAGCCCTTGCTTAGGAGTAAAACCCTGAGTTTGGAGCTTCCGGCACCTACCCACATTGTCCCGCATTCCACAAGGGAGTCAAGGACTGCAGTGCAGAGAGGGAGGCAGGATGCTGTCAAGCTACTAGCCAGAGTCTTCTGAACCATGGAAGTTAAGAACTGTAGAACAAATTGTTTCCGAAGCCTGCACTGGAGCCAAGCAAGGTTCATCCCAAAGAGATGCTGTAGGAAACAAGGAGACTTATATTTTTTCTGCCACCAAGGAAAGATCTCAAAGAAGCTAGTATTTAATCTTTGTACTTCAGAACCCAAGCAGACAGGGCATAGTCCGGTAGAATCTTCTGGTGAAAATATTATATCTGCACCAAGTATATGTAATTTCAACTATGCTTCAGATATGTCAAGTGTAGCTGAAGAACTGAAATCCTAATTTAACCTGATTCAAATATACTTATTTGAGGCGGTGACCACTAAATTTGACAGTTGAAGAACTGACTTTTTGTGGCAATATTTCTTAATTAAATGGCAGGTGGTATTTTGGGAAGCTGTGCTCTAGACATGGTGCTTGCTGTTTTCTCTCACTGGAGGATCTTGTAAATCTGCAGTTTGATGGAGTGCACTGGGAACTAAAGAGATTAAGTCACTGGCTCAGGGTTTGCATCACCTTCAGAACAGGGAAGGATGTCAGGTTCACTCCAGGCACCATTTCACCTCTTCCACAACTGCAGGTATTACCATGGTTGTTTGAGTCAAAGCCTGAGCCCTGACAGTCCAACCAAGCTGGATATGGCCACTTGTCCACAATATGGTAATTACAGAAATAATAGTGAAAAGCAGAGGAAGTAACTTAATGTGTCCCCATTGGGTGGAGGAACAGATAAAGAGGTCTAGTGACCTCCTAATAATTTTTCACAGTCCTGAAGTAAGATCTAGGTTTGAATAGAGGGCAAGAAGTATGAATCGCCAAGCAGTGCTCTCCAAGGGTGATGCTGCCTGTGGCTTACCCATCACTGTCTCTGCAAGGTGGTCTTACAAGGTGTGACAGTTGTATGACATCTCTTCTTGGGAGGCGAACTCCTCTGGTTCTTACAGGCATCTACTATTTCTTTCCCCAGAATGAGATTCCCTTGAAGGAAATTGTAATTCTCCAGGGACAACCGTTTCAATACTCAGAAACAAAGGGAGGCTAAGGTGTCTCTCTTGAGTATTTCCCGCTTGCTGGAACAGGGGACCAAGGGATAGTTGAAGGGTTTAGACTGTGGAGGCAAAATGAACAGAGGGAAGGTGGGATTTCAAAAGAATTCTGATGGAGACATTTAACTAAAAGTCTGTTTCTGGAGAATGCCTTCCTGCCTGTTTCCAGCAGGGGAAAACATTCTATTGGAGCTCTCAGGGTGATAGAAGGATGTGATGAAATTTTCCCTTCATATGTTATGAGCCTGAAATTGTGTAATATATATTCATATGCTAGTGTTGTGGGTGGCTACAGTCCTGACAGTTTTCACACATGCATATTTCCTGGCTTTGTTTCATCTTTTTTGTTGCTTTAATAAAATTATACTACAGCAAAGGTGAAAACTAAGAGCTTCTCCAGTTCTGACTAAAACATGAATAAACTCATTCCATTTTACCAAATCACATTTCCTAACATTTTGACTTAAAAAAAAGTTACTGTCCTAATTTCTTTTGAAATACAGGGAAAGTAAGGTGGCAGGTTTCTGTCCCCACCCAGGTGCCTAGTGACAAGCCTGCCTGGAGTCAAGTCTTCATGAGTCTAATTCACGGTCCAGGAGAAGCTCACAGACTAGCCTTTGGACACTCTGGGATGCAGTAGACTAACAGACTTTATAGAAACATCTATAGTTTCTACAGAAGATGGAAGTATTAAGACTCCAATGCTCAAATCATTTGGTGACATCACTATTGCCTGCACATCAAAGTTCACAGTGGAGCCTGCATTTGTGTTCCCCTGCTCTGAATGTAGGCGTATCTCTAAGAGACTTGTTATGCAGTCTTGTACTTCCCTTAGCTGTGGACATGATACAATTCTTTTAAAACCCACATGTATTCATGTTGGAAGCTAAAAGTAACTTAAGCTATATGAATTTCAGAAAAAAATGCTGTTAATTCAGAATTGATAGAGCCATTTTGAGGTATTTTGTTTTCTATCAGTCACTTAAGGCAGGATATTCACCCTTTTGACAATGAATTAACACTACACCCTGTCTACACTACAGCTTGTCATCTATAAACTGAGATACATTAATTGAGATTACTTTAATTTTTAAGCCAAAGCACACTGAAATAAAACTTGAAATAATAAACTATTGTTTTCTGTTTAAGAATCTATCTGGTATATCATTACAGAGAATCACATAAATAATAAAAATCTCCCCCCCCCAGAAATAATGCTTAGAATTTTATGGGTTTTTTTTTTTGGTTTTTCGAGACAGGGTTTCTCTGTACTGTTTTGGAGGCTTTCCTGGAGCTTGCTTGGTAGTCCAGGCTGGTCTCAAACTCACAGAGATCCGCCTTTCTCTGCCTCCCGAGTGCTGGGATTAAAGGCGTGCGCCACCAACGCCCGGCAAATTTTATGTTCTTTAAAGAAAATTCTAAAGAAAGATCATGAATAATTTTCAATATTTGGATGCATGACCTTCATGGGTTGGTTGATTTGGGAACTGTGATATTAGTGCTTCTAAGTTAGGTTTGCATAGATTTGTTATCAAGGTGAATCAAAGCCAGCCCTTCATTCCACAGAGGAAGGTAACTGCCCACATACCATGGCCTAGATAGCAGCAATGGATTAGAGAGTGTGTGATCTATTTTTCTCCTTCTTGCCATTCTTTCCACAGTGGACATTACAGGGCATGTTTACACTAGTGGGGATAAACACAAGTGGTACTGATAAGGAAACCATCTGGCTAATAGGGAGATGACACAATCACCTTGGTGACTTAAGACACATAAAGACTCCAGTGGGTTGAATCCCTTTGAAGGTAATGACACCATGGGTGGATCTTCATGTCAGGAAGCCAACCAATAAAATCTGGATTTGAGGTGTTTTCAAAGAAAGAGATAAAGACATCGGTTTCAGACAGAAGTGGGGCTAGAGGGAACTAGTTACAGGGGCATCAGGAGGGATAATACTGAGGTTGGCTGGAACAAGACTTGTAACTTCCTGAGGTAAAGGAAAAGGAAAACTCAGAGTTCCACAATGTACACTGGCAGACATCTCAAAGGCTTCTTTGTACCTGGGCTGCAAGAGCTTACACAAGGTTAACTCTGTTCTGTGAACATTAACCTCCAGTTCCAGGGGATCTGATATCCTCTTCTGACCTCTAAGGGGCCCTTGCACTCATGTGCATCTCACATCCCATACTTGAGCAACAACAACAAACACCATTTAAAAAGAAAGAAAAGAGCAGAGGGCATGGCATAACAGAATGGGGTCTGGCTCCAACACAGTTAACCTGATTGGCCCAGCCTCTTCTGTGCAGGATGAAGGATGTGCAGTGGATCGCATGATATTTGGAGGGAATGTCCACTGTGAAGTATCTTCATTTAGCAGTACCAACTCTTGGAAGAGGGCTTGGTTAAATTGTTGTTTCTTTAGACCAAGTAACATTTCCAATCTTCTGCAAGAAGCTATGTACTGACCACCATGTTGCCTTATTAGTAAGATATTTTAAGGTTTCAAAAATCCAAACTCAAAAAAATCAAAATTTTTGATATGTCTATTGTTTAAATTAAAACTATTGAATATTGGGAATTTGATAAGCTATACAACTCATTTTAAACTGAGAAAACTGATGTTTCAGAATGGACAGGTTAGGCTATGCTACAATAACACAGAACCTGTATGTCAGGGCTTAGTAGCTAAGGCTCATTGTGTATCTTACCACAAGAACTTGACAGTTTGGCTGGAGGCATCATTGTGTGAGTTCTCATTGTCTTAATTTTATGAGGCAGGCTGATGGAGCAGACTTTAGTGAAGCATCAATCATTGCTATGGCCAAATGAAGAAGAAAACATAATCCAGCATAATTAGACTCCTAATGATGAGGCATGTTGCTTCTGCTTGCCTTCTATTATTCAGGGTCAGCAATATGGCTCAGTGGGTAAAGGTGCTTGCTGCCAAATACCATGATCTGAGTTCAAGCTACAAGACTCACAAGGTGGAAGCAGAAAATCAACTCCCTCAAGTTGTCCTCTGATTTCCACATGTCACATGCATGTGTGCACATAATAAGTATAAATATATACTTATATAAATATATGCACATGCATAGAATACAAACCCAGGCTTAAAAAAGACAGAGATAATACAAAATATACTTAAGATTTTAAAATTCATCTTTATTTCATGTGTATTAATGTTCTGCCTACACATATGTAAGTGCATGGCATTCATGTGGTACCCGAGGAGACCAGAAGGTGTTTGGTTCTCTGGAACTGGAGTTGAACTTGTAAGCTGCCATGTATGGATGCTCAAAACTGAATCCAGGTCCTCTAAAAGAGCAACAAGTGATCTTAATCACTGAGACTTTTCTCAAGGAAAGGAATGCTTCAAGAATTTGCCTGTCATTTCACACGGACCCATGCTAGTCTCTATATCATTCCTGTTTTAGTATGCATTGTTGTCAAAGTGAGCACAAAAATATGATTTTTTAAAGCATGTCACATAGTTACTGAAGTTGTTATGGTCAAAGCCTGGGCTCAGACAGTCCTAACAGTCACCTGTCCTCAATCAGTCGGTAAACAGACAATAGTGAAAACAGAGAAGGAGGTTATTAAATGTAGCAAATAAGGAAATCCAAATGACTGCCTCAGTCCATCTTTGGGAGTCCAGACATGAGACTCAGGTTTAAATAGGGGGTGAGAGGCATTTATAACTAAGAAGTTCTGATCATGGTGTGGTCCTGTTCATCATGGTGACCCAACATTATGTCAGTTTCTGTCTCACCTCTGAGGGGGTCTCACAACTTGTCAGAAATCTCTTCCCAGAAAAGAGTTCCTTCCCTGGCTGACACTAGGCCTTTCCTTCTTCCAGAATGGATAGATCCCCACAGCTTCCAATTTCTCAGGCACAACTGAGTCAGTTAGTCTGATGCTAAAGGGATGTTTTGTTAATGTCTGCTCTGATACAAACACTCTGCTCATGAGACTGCTGGCCTCACATCCAGTCACTGCAGCCAAGCATTTGTGATACTTAAAATATTATCAGTTCTCCACTTCCTGGGAAAAATGACCCCTGGAAGAAATTAGGCACTGTCATAAACATCCTGGAAGAAATGAAGATATTCTAAGGAAAACAGAGAAGGAATGGGAGTCAACAGAGGCCTCCTTGGTATACAGGGATTATTGAACACTGTTGAACACTTTAGAAATAATAATTGGTTTTCACATTTCACATACAAAGCATGTTTAAGATTTTAAAATTTGTCTTCAAGTGTATTAGTGTTTTGCCTACATATACGTAAGTGCATGGCATCCATGTAGTATCCGAGGATGCCTTCAAACCTTCCTTTTTCTGGTTCGTATGGTCGTTCTGTTTTCTGAGCACTTGTTTTCTTTGCAGAGTTTCCAGAAACTCTGAGATGTGAGCGGAAACATTCTTGTGCTCCTCTTGCAAAGGTTACACATACACGTGGACACACAGCATCTCCCATCCTTAGGTGCTCTGCAGGTTCTCCCAGTACCTCTGCCTGGCTCTTACATGTGCAGTGTAATGGGGCAGAACACAGTAAAACAGCCTTGTATCATCTCCCACTCCATCCTTCGGGGTAGTTATAAAGAGATGCTATGATTGAAATGAAAATAAATAATTTAATTGCAGGTGTGAAGATTTTTCTAATTGTCTCATACCTGAAACTGTCTCTAAATAGAACAGATACAACAAAAAAATTCAAAAGATTGGTATACTTATAAGTGGTTTTCTGACACAAGGGCATCTTCACAGTTTGGAGCCAAGGAATACCACAAAGTCATATAACAACAAACCCCACACAAGAGACCTATTGGAGAGAAGAACAGAATGCTGTCTGCCTTTGACCAGGAACAGAGACAGCAGAGGGCTGGGTGGGGAGGGGGGCAGGCTTTTTTTTTTAAATATTAAAAAAATTTATTTTTAAATTTAAATTCAAATTAGAAACAAGGTTTTGTCACATGTCAATCTCACGTCCCTCTCCCTTTCCCTCCCCTCCTCCCACCCCCTCCCACCACCCACCCAATACCCCCTCCTTTCCCCAGGGAGGGTGAGTTCTTCCATGGGGGTGTCCATAGTCTGTCATTTCATCCAGGACAGGACCTAGAACCTCCCCCCAAGAGGGAGAGAGTGCATCTCTCATTGTGGGATGGGCACCCAATGCCCATTTGTATGTCAGGAATAAATACTGGTCAACTACCAAAGGCCCCATAGATTGCCTAGGCCTCCTCACTGAGGGGGCAGGCTTTTATGGGGTCTTTGGAGCATGCACAGTGAGCTAGTGGAAAAGTACAAAGTGGTTGGAAGTATTGCTTGGCCATTCATTCAAACATTATCTGGCAGTTAACTAGATTGAGGGCAGGCCATGGAGAGGGTGATTTTACACTGGTTGGTTACCCTACAATGCTTTTGTTTAATTTATTTTGATATTTCTTTTACACTATATGTTAGAAAACCATAGACTGCTTACTTTCATTGAGTATTTACAATTAGACAGTGATGTCAGCTAGTGCCTCTCAGACTTGAGTGTGCATTAGAATCCCCTACTGAGCAAACTCAAGCTGCTGAGCCTGTCCCCGGGCATTCCGGGTCAGTGGGTCTGAAATGGGCTAAGATACCACATTTCTGGCAAGTTCCCAGGAGATATTAATATTGTTGGCCCCAGTTTGGCCACAAACATTCAAGAAGCGTGATGCAGGTGAACTACTGGGAAACCATCTTCCTGTGTTTCCCCAACACTGGGTGTTTGGAGAATGGGGTTGGGGATGCCATAGGCAACCAGACAAAACTAAGTATCTAGCCAGAGCTGTGAGCTAACAAGGGCCCAGGCAGAACTAGCTCTTCCGCATTTCTCAATTCCTACACAAACCATTAATACCACTTGCTTGTCACAAAGCCTGCTTCCTCTTGGCTCACCCTACAGTTGCTTTGTTCTTGTTTATAGAACAGAGGGTTTCACTAAAGAGTTCTTTTTCAAAATTATGCAAATTACACTAAAGACTTCAAGGGGGGGAAAAAAAGACTTAATCCTTTTTCTAGTTCCAGAATTGCTGTTTCCCATAAACAAGCCCTGGGGTGAGAGCTAACTGTACTCACTTTGCTGGAAGTCTTGCAGTTCCTTGCCAAGCACAACACTGTGG